CTAATTTGCTTTTGAACAAAGTAATGATCAAACTTCAAATATCTACAACCATCTTTAACTTCCTCTTCATGAAAGAGAGAATGCTACATTTACAATAGAGTATGAAAATTACTTCTTTGGTGGAACAGCCTGAAAGGTTGTAATTTCCATCAGAGCCTCTTGTACCTCCCACTTGGCAAAGCATCCAGTGTCATAGGATGCTCTCAGAAAATTGCAAGCTTTGGGAACGTGCAAAGCATACGTACTGTGTGCCATATAATTATTAAGTACTAGTTGCCTTAGGCACAGGATGTAGTTAATAGCAGCTTACTCAAAGATCACTCTGCACATGGGGATCATACATTTAGAAACAGGTGTGTCACACTTGCAAAAGGAAGACATTTCATAGGTAAGAAGACTCAGCTAGTCAGAAATATCAGGTCAGAGGTACTGAAGGAAAAAAACAAAACAAAAGAGGAGAGTTTGAGGGATACATCTATAGAAAATCATCCATCTCAGGAAGAAATCGTGCAGTACAGATCAAAGAAGGCGGCCCATTATGAATGGCAAGGACTGAATTTCCCCCTTTGCTCACAGTGAGTGTCTTCACAGACAACAGAACAAGACTTCTTGCTCAAGAACTGGGTTTGATTTGTAGGAGGGAAACTGCAAAGTTTATACTGAAATCTAAGTGGGTTTGATTCTGATGCACCGAAGGGGAACACATGCACTTCTAGAAATGAATCCAAGCAGCGTTTACAGTTTCCCAGAGGAATGAACTTTCCAGGTGACATTTTGTTACCATCACAGCATCAAAGATACTTACTCACGCTATGCTCACCGATATAATGCTCTGGTTATGTGAGCTCATGCTCAGGGACCAGGATGAAATTCACTTTAAACAACAAAGAATTTACAAATTAAGAGAACTGGTGAAAAATACAAACTATTTATTCGTTTTCTGGTTCAAATTCTGACCTTTGCTGTTGGTGACTAGGTGACTCTCGATGGGAGACTTCAGTGTGTCAGCATTCAGTTTTCTAACAGGCTGATGATCATCACCTTTGCTTTCTGCATTACTTACTGAGAATAAATAGCAACAGAAGCAGACAGCAAACTTCTTCCCCAAATCCTCAGAGACTACACATGCAGAAAGGACATCCTGAAGGAAGATACCCTAAAATGAGGCCTGTATTTTCAGCACAGGAATGTGGGTTTCCTTTACTTGGATAAATATGAATTGCAAAATTTCAGTTGGCTTGTAAACACAGCATTCCCAAGCACAGTATTTTACCTGGAAAGAGTATTTACTGAATCACCAACTAATTTCTGAAAGGATGTTCCACACATGCCTCCTTATAGAAGTAAAGATCTCTGTTTAGTCTGTGAAGTATGATGTGACAGCTTGATACTTTATGGAAAAGAAATGAGCTCCTTCCCTCTGTTTACTGTCCCTCAATCTGAACACACACAAGTCAAAATGCAAACATTATTAAGAACATTTTTACTCATCAGAGCAGTCAAAGCTACTCCTCATCCCACATGCACTATGCATTACACAAGGTTTGCATGAGTTTAAGGAAAAGGTATCAACTCTTTGGTTCATTTCCACAGTGAAAGTCCTCTTCCACCATCACTGATTTCATTTTAAATCATGGTGTCCTGGTTTTGCTAGGATACAGTCAATTTTCTTCTCAGTAGTTAGAATACGTGTGTTTTAGTTTCAGTGTAAGACTTGTTACAAGAATGTTGATAAAGTACCAATGTTGTGGTGAGTAATGGCACTGGGTATCACTCATTTGCATATTTTATTACTGTTATTATCACTACTATTTTAATATTAGGGGTTTTTAAAGTTTTTTTTTATTTCTATTAAACTGTTCTTATCTCACCCTACAAGCCTCCTTACCCTTGCCCCCCAATCTTCTCTCCTATCCCCTGGGGGTGGGGGGGACAGTGGGTGAACAGCTGTGCTGGCTGCTGGCCAAGGACCAGCCCAGTGAAACCACCACAAATGGGAAAGGCCCTTATTTGGGCAGAAAAGTGCCCAGGTTGCAATTTCACTGCACCTCTACACTGCTGCACATTATCAAAATGGTCCCATTCCCATCCTTAAGATGTCACGTTCCATAAAACAGATTTCTTGATCCCTATGATTATTCCACAGACCTTTATGACCTGTGCTTCATCAACTACTACTCAATCTTTTGGTAATTAATTTCTCTAAACAGAGGGAAAATACTAAACATATTAGTAACTATACAGCTCTCTCAGTGTGATATGAACACTCACAGGGGAGGGTTTCTTCCTCATCTCAAAGGTCCGGGTAGCACCGAAGCTGAGTGAGGCAATGACAGGATTTTTCCCCAGTGATGGTTCATCGTCGCTGTGCCAGTCTACACTGTCCTTCTCATGTCGGTAGAGGTTGCAGAGAAGAGAGTTGAAGGTGTGGCCAGTGAACTCCTCAATGCGCTCCTTCAGCATGGTCAGCAGAGGATGCCACTGTCATCAGCACAGCAGGAGGAGGGTAAATACAAGGAAAGCAGGCCAGCAGCAGATAACACCGAGACACAAAGGGAAAAACTACTAAGAAACCAAATATACAGCACGAATCACTATAAACCTGAGATCAAACAAATGCCTCTGAACAATTCTGATGAGATTTTTAATACAGCTGAGAAATGGGCTTTCTGCAAAGTACAGGTAAGTTACCTGTCACTCATTAGGGTTAGTTACCTGTCACTCATAAGGCAGTGGAGCATCTCCCTGATGAGGAAAGGCTGAGGGCGCAGGGGCTCTGTAGCTTGGCGTGGACTGAGGGGTGACCTCAATAATGTTAATAAATATGTAAAGGGTGAATGTCAGGAGGATGGAGCCAGGCTCTTCTCAGTGATGCCCAATGGTAGGACAAGGGGCAATGGGTGTGAGCTGGAACACAGGAGGTTCTGCTTAAACTTGAGAAGAAACTTCTTTACAGTGAGGGTGCCAGAGCCCTGGGACAGGCTGCCCAGGGAGGGTGTGGAGTCTCCTTCTCTGGAGACATTCAAGACCCGCCTGGACGCCTTCCTGTGTGATCTCATTTAGGTTCCTGCTCTGACAGGGGGGTTGGACTGGATGATCTTTTGAGGTCCCTTCCAATCCCTGACATTCAGTGATTCATTACTAAATCATCTCCTAATGATGATGAAGACTATGGTGCATCGCTATGCTATAGCAGCACATCAGATCAGTTCTTTAAATCCTCCTGCAATTAACAAGCTGCGTGTGGTGTCTCAGTGTGATTTTTTACCTTGATCTGCTTGAACTGACCATGGATAAACACTGGGAGTTCTTAAAAAGTGTACAACTTCTCCCATGCATACCTGTTGGGTTTTTTTTATACCTCCTGGCCAAGGTAAAAGAGTTAACACAGGGGTCTGATAACATCTGAGTTACTTGGCCATTGCTGGTGGGCACAGTACAACCCAGGAAGTTGTAATCAGTGGGTCACTCACTCCAAGGACTTGGAAGTGCTGGAGCATGTATCTTTATAACAAAAAACTCAGTATTACACCACAATCTCCAATATAAAGATGCATAAAGTAAATCACACAAAACAATTTAGAGTTTTGTCCAAAGCTACAGCAGAACTTTAAACTCTGGCATCTAAATCATTCTCCTCTCAGTCAATCTACTCATAATTCTTGTTTTATTAAGTTGTCCACAATCCACTAGAATCTGTTGCTGATCACAAATGAAATGCTGATAGATACTCTACATAAAAATAGAGAATAGGGGGAATTTTTATGTCTGCATGTCTGTAAAGGATTTATTTGTAGATGATAATAAAACTGTAAGGATATACATACATTTGGGTTTGGCTGCATTGTTATCCTGGAGTAGGTGTAAGGAAGTTCTCCATACCAGGAGGTGAGCCTTGGTTCCTCAAAAGATACTTCTAAAAAAAGAAGAAAAAACAGGAAGACTTTCTCAGTTGTCTTATCAAAGGGCTTGAAAATGGAAAGATGATGCAATTCTGCCAAGAAACTTGATCAAAAAGGGACTGTCCACTCCACTAAAGTTAAAAAGCAGTCCCTTCAAATCCTCACCCTTACATAAGGGACTCCAGTGAAGGGATGAGATTATTCAAAAGCAGGCCTCTCTCTGCAAGAGGAATTACCTTGTCAAAATCTTGGAGCCACATCAATTTTCTCATCCCTATGCCAGACAGGACAGGGACTGGACAAGTTACAAAGACAACAAAATGAAACTGAAATTTTCTTTATCATTTTGGCTTGGTTTATATTCTCCTGGTTCCAGTGCCCGATACACTGGCATACACTACAAGATGTATGCAAGGATGAAGTGGAAAGGACTGCAGCACCAATGGGGCATTACAGAAGCAGAACATAGTAAAGCTGGAGAAGTAATATTTTGTCAAACATTTGTGCTCTGTAGTATAATAAAAACATCAAGTTAAAAGTACTTTCAACTTCTGAAAAGACTCTCTTAGTAGCTATTTCTCTTGCTTGCCAGGTAACATCCTCCATTATACTGCACCTTTATTGCAAGCCAATAAACATGGACTTTGAAGATATTTTCCAGCTCTTTCCAGTAACTACTCTGACATATTATCTTGTATCTGTTCCTGAATGAGAAGATATTTTGCTACAACAGGTGCCCCTTAGTGAACAAATCCAGAATAGCAGTCTCCTCTCTTCCTGCATACTGGAACTAATAAAAGACAAGGCAAAAGAAACATGCTCAGCTGGGATTTTAAGTGACAGAGGCAAAAATTATCTGTGGTGACAGAAACCTCCAAGAACATAGTTTTTGCAGCATCACTGAGAGACAGTATGAAGGGATGGAGCACAGACACAAACTAAAAAAAGAGTGGGAAAAAGAACTGGAGAGGACAGAGGAGGTAGTAAAATTCAAGGATTTTTAAGACAGGGATTTGAATTTGGAAAGATCTTGTTTAATTGGCAAGAGGAACATGGTGACAGAGATTGAAAAATGTGCAGCAGTACTCTTCAGATATGCATGGAAAACCTGGAAGGGAATCAATGTGAAGGAGTGGTAATATGTGAAATTAAAAGCAATGATAAACAATCCACAGATTCTTGGTATGGAAATGACCTGGGAATGACCTGAAAAATCAGTCTACACGCAGAATCCCAGAATTGCCTGGATTGGAAAAGCCCTTTAAGATCATCGAGTCCAACCATGAACCCAACACTGACAAGTCCCCGACTAACCCATGTCCCTCAGCACTGTGTCTACACGACTCTTCAATCCCTCCAGGGATGGGGACTCCACCACTGCCCTGGGCAACCCCTTCCAATGCCTCAGAACCCTTTCAGCAAAGCAATTCTTCCTCACATCCCATCTCAACTGCCCTGGCCACAACTGGAGCCCATTTCCTCTTGTCCTGTCACTTGTTCCTTGGTTGGACAGACCCACCCCCACCTCTCTCCACCCTCCTCCAAGGGACTTGCACAGAGCCAGAAGGTCTCCCCTCAGCCTCCTTTTCTCCAGGCTCAACAACCCCAGTTCCCTCAGCCAGGAACTCAGCACACTTGTGCTCCAGACCCTTCCCCAGCTTAAACCCCTCACACCCCTTACCCTGTCTGACGTGAGTTCTCTGACCCCAGGGTATGTCTTGCAGGAGCTGTTCAAACATCCAGTCTGCTTGTTCTGAGTCAATAAAGCCAGGAATCAAATGAATCCTAAGGAGGGAAAAAGAGAAAGAAAAGATGGAAGGAATATCCACTTCTATATCTGAGTTTCTGATTTCCAGGATTCCCAAAGGAGCTGAGAATTGCTGTAATGCATCAGAGCAAAAGTCAAATCCCAGTATCCTCTTTCTGACCACAGCCAAAAGCAGGTGTGAAGGAAAGAACAGAAGGCAGCAGGAGCTCCTGATGAGTCTTCCCCCCACCAAACTCATCTAATTGCTTTTAAAACCTTCTGCTTGTTATTAACTTCACATCTGATAAGTTAGATAGCCCTGATTATGGGAATACAATCAACATTAACTGCCCTTTATTCTTCTTCATGCCACTCAGAATTTGATAGCTCCTTATCACTACTGCCATCCTATCCTCTCTTTTCCAAGCACAAGAACTCTACAGAGTATTTAACCCCTCCTATTTTTACATTTTCATGTGTACATTTTACATATTTTGACTGTACTAACAACAGCATTCAAAAATTCCAGCCACTGTGGTGGGCTGGAGTAGGAATGCTGTTCACAAGAGGTTACTCTCATGAGTATTCAATGCTCCAAAGACACCAAAATAAATATATATATATAGGTAAAGGTACTAAAAGAGATGCAAAATCCAATTATTAGCTTTCCAGAAATGTATAACATATTATGGAAACAAACTTCAGAAAATGACAGAATAACCCAGCTGGTTGTGTATTTTCTCTTTCCAGCTGGTCAAAGTTTTTACTTTTCAAATTGGTATCAAACTTTATTTGCCATTTTCAAAGAAAGCCAGATGAAAGCTTTGAAATAAATGCACAAAAAGTTACTATGTCCTTGGCACTTTTTTCCACTATTAATAAAACCTATCGAATTCAGAAGAAAAAGATTAACACTGATACTGCAGCTAAGTCAGCAGAGTAAAATAAAATGCATTTTAGGTAGTAGAAATCACAGAACAAGTAGGTTTTGTTTGGAAGTGTCTTGAAGTTGAAATAATTAAAGTAGAGCAGGTAAACAAAAGGGACAACCCTGAAGTTACCAAATCTGCCTAAAGTTAAATGCTTTCATTAGATTAATTTAAAAGTCCAATTTACAGCTAAATGTTTTTGGTAGCTCTTCACTATACAACACAGACAGCACAGAGTTGTTAACAAGGGAATAATGATGCAAATTTCAAGCAAGAACTTACTCTGGATCGTCAAACAAATGGACACAGCCCCTTCTCCTTGTAGTACACACCCAGGTGTTAAGAGGTTCATTTTTCTTCTCTTCAGTGCTGCTCAGAACTTTGTAAAGCTTTGCTACCTGACACTCAGTGTATTTCCAGAAGTTCTCTAAACAGAAGCTACCCAGGAAGGGCAACGTGCACCTGCTAGAGTCAAAACACTCTGCAGAGACTAGACTGCAGGAAGCAGAGATCACCACGTTGTTCCTCAACAGCAAATAACAAGTTTCAAACAAAAAACAAAGTGCAATTCACTTACCTAGAAATGCCAGTTGGTACTTTGCTGAGCTCATACACACCAGGCTTACTGGGGATGGAAGAAAGTAAAGAGCCATTAGAAGGACAAACAAGAAGAAATGATCTTGCACTGAGCAGCATGGACTAGAATTGCTGTAAGACCAGACTAAGAGGGAGAGTATTCTTTAAAAAAAAGGAAAAGAAAGAAGCTTTGTGCTACTAAGGGCAGCAATAATGTTCTGGAGACAGCCAGAGGTCAGAATAAGGCAGCACGGGGCGCTGTAGAAGCAAATGAGTTTGTGTGTACTTCCTGCTCCTCACTCTCATTCCACCTGAGGCTCAGTACAGAGTTGGAAGGCTCTAGAGATACATCAGTGAGGGACATCACGTGGAATCTCAAGGAGACAACCATACAAGGCTGCACCCTGACCATCATGGACAGGTACATAAAGAACACGAGCGTAACTGCAGACACAGAATCCAGTTTTCAGCCAGATGACCAATTCCACTAACAGCAAAGTCTTCATCAACCTGTCTGACACAGGGAAACCACCTTACAGGTACATCAGCAGTAGTTTAATTATTGCAGCTGCTACAGAGGGCAAACAGTCCTTCCCTGTTACGAGTTGCATTGTCATAAAGTATTATTTACTTTTGTATGAACTGCTTGCTTTGCTTCAACTACTATCTCACTTTCTCCCAAGCTAGCTCCAACCTTTACACTGCTCTTTTTGCCTACAACACTCCAGGAATTAATCTTCTCCCTCAAAACAGTTCACCAGCTCACAAGATTATTCTGTTTTGCGCTGTGGTGTATTTAGAGAAAGTTAAATGAACAGAAACTTCTGATCTCTTCCACACTGCACACACAGAGCCTGATCTGTACTGTATTACCTACAGCACACTGGTGTGATGAGAACAGCATCTCAGTTTGGATTCCTTAATATTTTTATTTGATTTGTAAGTACATGGAACAAAGGAAAGGTCAGTGAATCTTTAGGACACTTTTAATACACTGAATTTACTTAATACCCACATATTATGTGATTACTACTAATCATAAACAATATGCAAAGAACATATGGCTGTATCATTCATACTGAAAGGAGAAGTTAAAGTGTAAGCAAATCTGTTGCAATCTGGAAGTGTTTCTGGGAAATTCTGTAACTATTTCCAGCAATATTTCTCACAACTCTTGACAGAAACATCTCTCCCAAAGTAGTTCTACTTAACGAACTGTTCACTGCCACGCTAGCAGTGGGAGGGCAGCTGAACATCTCAGCTGAATTATGCCTGCATGAATATACACCCAGCATCAAATCTGAAGCTGACAGGGAAAACTAACCCCAGATTCATCAAAGTCTGTGAGTCATAGAATCATAGAATGGTTTGGGTTGGGAGGGACCTTAAAGCTCATTCAGTTCGGACCCCCCTGCCAGCAGCAGGGACACCTTCCACTAGACCAGGTTGCTCAAAGCCTCATCCAACCTGGCTTTGAACTGAAGTCAAAAGCTGAATCTGTAACTTCCCTCTTAGGAACCACTTAGTAAGAAAATTCTACCAAGATGACCAAACTGAAGCAAATTTAATTTTCAAAAATCTGTAACTTCACCATACACCTTGTCACATTTCATGCCAAGGTTATTCTGAAAAGATTCCCCATTTCAACACAAAGGGTATATGAATATCTACATTCACTGTGACACTTACTAGTGTCACTTACTTTTCCAAACCTTCAAAGGAAGCACTGCTTGAGCTCTCATACCAGCTATGTTCCTGGATTCACTTGCCTTTCATTTGCTACACTTACTTACAAATCAAATAAAAAACATATAAAGGAAACAAATTCCTGTAAGTAATTTCCAGAACAGAGACTGTTGTAGGAAAACATACATTGCTAACTAAAGCAGACATATCTGCAGTTCTGCGATCCAGAATGTCCAACTGTTTGTTCTTCCTGGCTTACACAGCTACACCAAAGCTACAAAAACCAGTTAACACAGACTAGGAATCTCCTGATTATCACCAGTTCAGGATCAAAGGGCTAAAAGTTCACATTTTGTACTGAAATTTCTTCCAACAGCACAGCAGTTGAAAGTGGAAGAGGAATTCTCTTTCAGGAGATTCCCAGAAGACAGGAAAACCGCACGAAGGACAGTGAAGTCAGCAGTGTACTCACTCTATCACACCTGCCTCGGGGACTTTGCGCTCCACCTGAAAGGTAACAAGGGAATACAAGGTGAGTATTAAAGTGCCTGACTTGCTGTAGTCAAACAGAGCTAATTGCCATCTCTAGTGACTCTATATAGTTGCATACTGGTATGTCAGTGAGAAAAACACACCCCTGGACAATTGGTAAGCAGCAACAACCCACCCACTCTCTCCATGCCCCAGAAACAATCAAATGCAGCTACCGCTGCAGGCGGTTTTTAACAATCAGCTGCCCCCTAAAGGACATTAATTTCTAAATTATTTGGATTATTACTTACAACACTTGCTATTTATCAACTTCAACTAAAAAAAATTATTATCCTTACATTTGGAAGTAAAAAAATCTAGAGCAATTATAGGAGGGATAACAAATCCTAAGCCCCAGACAATGAGCAAAACACAAGATAGATCAGACATAGCAGCAACGGGCACAAACTGGAACACAGGAAGTTCCACCTCAATATGAGGAAAATCTTATTTACTTCGGGGGTGAGAGAGCACTGGAACGGGCTGCCAAGAGAGGGTGTGGAGTTCTCTTCTCTGGAGATACTCAAAACCTGCCTGGATGAAGTCCTGTGCAACCTATTCTAGATGTGTCTGCTTTGGCAGGGGGGTTGGACTAGATGATGTCCCGAGGTCCCTTCCAACCCCCACCATTCTGTGATTCTGTGATAGCAGGAGCTGATGCTTTAAAATTGTCTCCACAGCTTGAGATAGCTGGCTTTTATTAAAACAAAAACCAAACTCAGTAATTTAATCCAGCCTGGATTATCATTCTGGTTGTCTCAAGGATTTATGCTTCTCTTCTCTGAGCTCAGTGAAGTGCTGAGACACAAGGAGGTACTAAATTGAGCAAGCAAGAGGATCAAAATATAGTATGATATAGATACCAGGGCTCTGACACAGAGAAAAGAAAATCTTCCCAGACCATCTCCAATCCTTCCAAGCCAAGAAGACAGCCTTTCAAACACTTCTGGCTTAGAAAGACATGTTCAAGATCTTTTTTTCCCCAAGCAAAGAACTGCCCTCTGACTGCACAGAGCACAATATCCTTTATCTGCTGATAGGGAACAAAGCAAAATCTATAAAACAAATCCCATGCTCTTCCCCTGTAAGAAATAAAGACAGATATCTCAGCTGAGGGGAAAAAAACAGAGCCCAAATCATGCTTAGGACACTGCATCATTCTAAATATTGAGGAGAACATATTCTTTTGGTTCTCTGAGAAAAAAGCAGTTAGGAACAGGTATGTAATGACTACTCAAAGTCTGAGGGACTGTAACTTTCTGTTCGCCGTACATCCAAGATAGTTGCAAACACTGTTTGGTAAAAGCCTGAAGTTCACCTCAGATTAGTTTTTAATTTGTTTTTAAACATGAGAAAACTATAATGTCAAAGTCTGATCATTTTTATCATTTGAAGTTTAACAGAAGATGAGGTTCTGCTAGTTACCGGGTAATTTTTACCTCTGATGGCTTCTCAAAGATAAATTGCTTTCGAGTGTGAGGCTGATCTCTCCTCATCCATGCCGGTCCAGTGCCTGCAGAGGTGAGGTTGCTGGCCACAGGTGCTTTAGGTGCTAAAGCAAAGAAGATAAAAAATAATCAAATAAAACAGAATTTCACCATACAAAAAACACAGTTTGGGTAGTTTGCAGGTGCAAAGGACTGGGAGGGGGAAGCGCAGTAATTAGCACAACCCCAAATTGGCATTCGGCTCTGCCAATGGGATATTCCAGATCATATCACATCATATTCAGAATATTAACCAGGATTGACCAGAAGACGGGATCACTCGGGCTCATTCTTCTGATTTTTGGTTTCATGGCTGTCTCTGCTCCGGGATCACTGGCTGGGGACAGGCTGGGCATCAGTCAGCGGGTGGTGAGAACTGCACTGGGCATCACTCATTTGCATATTCTCTCATTACTGTTATAATCAGTATTATTTTATTTCAATTATTAAATCGTTTTTATCTCAACCCATGAGTCTCCTTGGTTTTACCTTTCCAATTCTCTCCCCTGCTCCCTGGGGCTGGGGGAGAGTGTGAGAGTGACTGTGTTTGGCTGCAGCCAAAGGAGTGAAACCACCACAAAACCACGTCTATAAACAGTGGCAGATTCATGTTAAAGTATATTTACAGATCAATTACTTAGGACTCAATATTACACACGCTCTTGAAAAATACGTTGCTCTTGACTGTAAATCAAGACAATTTAATTATATATTTTAAATGCATAACTGTCCTCACATTTCTGTAAATATTGCCAATATGCTATCAGGCTCTAAAAAAGCTTCAGTGAAACGAAAGTTCATTGGAAGTACTGTAAGTACTCTAAAAGAGGACTAGTAATTCCTCATTAATTCCTACAAAACTGTCAAGATACTTTAGAATAAATCCTCATTAAAGTACCGCAGCTGACCCCGAGTCCAGCATTGCTACAACACACCTGGGACAGACACACCATTTTCCCCCAAAAAGCTGGGTTTGAACACCTGAGCTTTAGTTACCCAGCAGAATGTGGATGAAGGGTCTCAGGCTCCATGGCAGCAGCCAGGAGACCCGTCCCCACAGCTTCACC